TGTACACCATATTTTCTTTATGCATCTGTTGATGGGCACCTAGGCAGATTCCATAACAGCGCTTGTGAGTAGTGCTACCATGAACATAGTTGTGCAAGTATCTGAGAAATGGAGGCTTAATCTCTAGGAAGTAGTTGGGTATCTTTGGGAAAAAGAAAAAGCAAAGGTTTCTGGTCAAATGTCATCAACTATGTATAACATCAGGAAGGTGAGTTAGATCTGGGAGGGGAGAGGGAATACTGGAGGGGATTATCAACCAGAGGATGTTGAATTCCCTGGAGCTGAAATTACAGGTGGTGAGCTGCCCGATGTTGGTGCTGGGAAGTGAGTTTGGTCCTCTGAAAGAACAGCATTCTTAACTACTGAGCCGTCTCTCCAGCCCACAAAATAGTGTAACTGCCAGCTTGCTGTGGACTAAAATACAGAATTGTTCGAAGTACAACTCTACTCATTGGCCAACACCTCCCCAATCCCCACCCGAGGCCTCTGGTAACCTTGATTCCACTCTCATGATCTCCAACTTTCTAGATTCCACTATAGGTGACCTTAAGTGACCCTCTTTCCCTGTGCTCCACATTTAACATTACTAAAGTTTACTCATGTTGTTACAAAGATCAGAACTCCCTGATTTTTTAATTTTTATTAGCATATATTAATTGTACAGAGTAATGTGCTTCATTTTTACATTGCTATACATGTAATCAGAGCTTTGGAACTGACAGAACATGTACATTACAAGGGAGATTTACTACATGACAAGGGCTGTGTAGGCAGTCTTTCAACGGCTTTGTGTGCATGCTGGACAGGCTGAGAACCCCATAGCCAATCAGTCTAAGCGGCTGGATGTCCAACCTGCACTGAAGGCCTAGAGGGTTCCTGCAGAGCCACTGTCTTCAGTCCACACTGGAATGCTGCACCTGAATGCTTGCTGACAGCAAGAACGGCAGAGCGGAGGCAACAGCTCCAGCAAGGAGCTAAGGTAGGCAAGCAACACTTTTTCCTCAGACAGCTGCCCACTCTGAGGAAAACCTGTTCCCCTCAGTTATCCTTCCTGGAAATGCCTTTACAGACCTGCCCAAAAGCATGTCTCTTAATTGATTGCAGATTCAAGTTGAGAACATTAACAAAGTGCATAAGTGACTGTGATCATAGTCACTGCCCATTCCCCTCCTCTGCTCCCTGCCCTCCTCCCACTGTTTCTCTGCCTCTTCTCTAGTGGCTCCCTTCGACTTCCTGGTCTGCTTTGTTGTCTTGCAGCTGAATGGTATTTCACTGCACTATATATGTATCTTCCATCTTAAGAATCCACTTACTGCTCCAACATACATTCTCCACTGGATCTGTCTCATCACTTTCCCAGACACTGGAACCAAATGACCATAGATTCAAACCTTGGAAACCATAAGCCTTTCTTTAAAAAAAATCCACTCCACAGCAGATGGACCCTTCCACTGTTCCCACATCTTGGCCATTGTCAATCATGACCCCAATGACCATTCGAGCACTGACATCTCTTTGGCATACTTCCTTCAAGTACTTTGGCAAATAGGACTGCTCGGCCATATGTGGTAGCTCTAGCTTTAGTTTTGTGAGGAAACTGCATACTATTTTCCATAATGGTTGTACTAATTTGTTAGTGCCAACAGTATATAAGGAGTCCCTTTTCTTCACATCCTCAACAACACTTCTTAATTCTAAAAATTCTAAAGATTCTAGCAATAAAACAAAGTTAGAATTGCTAAAATATAAAATCAGCTCTACACAGAATTCAGTATCAGGAGCTGAGGGTATTGCCCAGTAGCAGTACACTTACCTGGCATGCTCAAGGCCCTGGGTTCAATCCTTATTAACAGACATGTGTGTGTATACACACACACACACACACACACACACACACACAAATCAGCAGCATTTCCGTATACAACAGTCTGAAAGAAATTAAATGACAGTTCCACTTACAATCGCCTTATTCTTAGGCGATTTATTATTCTTATAAAATATTTAGTAGCATGTTTGACCAATCATTTACTTCTATAGACCCTATTACTAAAAACCATGAAACATGATAAATGTAATTAAAGATTATAATAATAAATGGAAAGATCTGTTGCATAGCAACTTCCTCTGAATTGAAATATCCCCTTTAGGATAGCGGCTCACTAAGGCTCAGGAAGTTAAAGAACTATAGGTGCCTTAATAAGTAAATAAATTTATGTCTCACCAGGAGTGGAGGCACGTGACTTTAATCCCAGTACTTAGGAGGCAGTGGCAAGCAGATCTGGGAGTTTGATGCCAGCATAGAGCTCCAGGTCAGGCTAGTGAGACCCTGTCTCAGACAAAACAAATCAAAGCTTTTAGGGCTAGTAAGATGACTCAGAGGTTAAAAGCACATACTGCTCTTGCAAAGGACCAAGCTGGTCCCTAGCGCCCATATTAGGTGGCTCATTACTGCCTGAAATTCCAGCTCCTGGGGATACAATGCCTCCGGCTTCCGAAGGTACTTGCACTCATACACAGACACATACACATACTTAAAATAAATCTTTAGAGAGAGGATGAAAGAATAGAAAGCCAAGAAATAAACCCTAAGGTCAACTGATCTTTTTTCTAATTAGCATATATTAATCATAGGAAATTATGGAAATTAGTCTCATACATGTATATTATGTGATTTGCTCAGATTCGCTCCCCCCATTACACTTTCCTGCCTCCCTTCCACTCCCCTCCCTCCCACTGATCTCCTCCTGGCCCCAAATACTTCCACCTCTGCTTTCCTGTTATAAGAGAAAATGTATGTCTTCCTGAGTCTGGCCTTTTTTTTTCTTTCTTTCTTTTTCTCTTTCTTTCTTTCTTTCTTTCTTTCTTTCTTTCTTTCTTTCTTTCTTTCTTTCTTTCTTTCTTTCTTTCTTTCTTTCTTTCTTTCTTTCTTTCTTTCTTTCTTTCTTTCTTTCTTTCTTTCTTTCTTTCTTTCTTTCTTTCTTTCTTTCTTTCTTTCTTTCTTTCTTTCTTTCTTTCTTTCTTTCTTTCTTTCTTTCTTTCTTTCTTTCTTTCTTTCTTTCTTTCTTTCTTTCTTTCTTTCTTTCTTTCTTTCTTTCTTTCTTTCTTTCTTTCTTTCTTTCTTTCTTTCTTTCTTTCTTTCTTTCTTTCTTTCTTTCTTTCTTTCTTTCTTTCTTTTGGTCTTTTTGAGACAGGGTCTCCCTGTAGCCCCAGCTGGCCTAGAACTTGTTATGTAGACCAGGCTGGCCTTGAACCCAGAGATCCGCCTGCCTCAGCCTCTGCCTCCTAAGTGCTAGGATTAAAGGCATGGGCCCCCACACCCCGCTTGAATTTAGCTTATTTCACACAGCATTATGATCTCCAGTTTAAAGGCAACTAATTTAACAACAATGCTAAGAATACAGAATGGAAAAGGGACAGTACCCTAGTTTCATTTCTGTTCCTGTGATAAAATACCTTGACCAAAAGCAGCTGAGAGAAGGGTTAATCTGGTTTACAATCCCAGGCTACAGTCGTCATTAAGGGGAAGTCAAGGCAGGAACGCAAGCAGCTAGACACACCACATCAGTAGTAGTTACACACAGGAGAGAATCCACCTATGCTGCTGCTTGCAAGCTTTCTTAACAGGTGTACAGTTCAGGGCCCAGCCTGAGAAACAGTGCCACCCACACTGGGCTGGATCAATTAGTACTCAAGACAATCCTTCACAGAATTGCCTAGACAAACCTATCTAGATAATTCAATTGAGGATCTCTTCCCAGGTGATTCTAGGTTGTACCAAGTTGAGAGTTGAAACTAATCAGCCTCCTACCCCAGCCTCCCAAAGGGCTATAATTATAGGCCTATAATTATAGGCCAAGCCCAGCTCACTAGGCATTCCTTAATCCAACAAGTTGACAATCAAAATTAACCATAATACAGAAGAATGAAAATGGATACTTATTTCGTGTATCAGAATCAATTCAGAGGAGATGGCTCAGTGGTTAAGAGCACTGGCTGCTCTTGCAGAGGACCTGGGTTTCATTCCCAGCACCTACATGGTGGCTAACAATCTTCTGTAACTCCAGTTCCAGGGAATCTGATACCCTTTGACCTCTGTGGGCATTGCTCAACAAAGGTACGCTTACATGCATGCATTAATTTACTCAGACACATAAATAAAATAAATCTAAGAAAGTAAAATGTAAATTAGATGTCAGAAAACTTTGAGAAGAAAGAAATAAGATTCAAAGGAAAAAATGTTATTCTTTGGACAATGAATGGTGATAGGAGAGCAATCCCTGTATTTTTAAAACTAGTAGAAGAAAACATAGGGGTAAAATTCCATGGCAGTGAGTTCCTTAATATGGCCCCTAAAAGCAAGCACTGGAAGGAAAACCAGGCAAACAGGATTGCATAGAACATACAAGTTCACCAGGCATGGTGGTGCCCACCTGTAGTCCCAGCACTTGGGAAGCAGAGGCAGGCAGACCTCTGTGAGTTTGGGGCCAGCCTAGTCTACTCACTAGCCTAGCTGATTCCAGGCCAGCTGAGGCTACAGGGAGACCCTGTCTCAAAAAAACAAAAAAAGAAAACAAAAGTTCTGCACTGCTAGGCATGGCGACCCACTTGAAAGGCTAACAAAGTTTGCTGTGTGTCTGAGGCCTGTTGCAAAATCAACTGGAAAAAAAATTAAGGAACTGAAACTCTTAATTAGAAAACAAAAATTCTTGTAGATATTATCAAAGACAGCAATTCAAAGATCACAATCCACCTTAGTTTTTAAGACCCTAAACATCTTTTGGCATAACCCCTGTATCATTCTCAGTCTTTTTTTTTTTTTTACAAATTTTGTAATGCTATTGAGTATTATGTTAAGAATGACTTTTGCCGGGCATGGTGGCGCATGCCTTTAATCCCAGCCTTTAATCCCAGCACTTGGGAGGCAGAGGCAGGTGGATCTCTGTGAGTTCAAGGCCAGCCTGGTCTACGTGGTGAGTTTCCGGCCAGCTGGGGCTACTGGGAGACCCTGTCACAAAAAAAGAATGACTTTCTACCTGAGTGCATGACAAGAAAGGGTTTAAATCTATATAAGCCTGGTGGTGGCATATTCCTATTATTCCATGAATTTGAGGCCACCCTGGAAAATCTATAAAATACCTAGAAAATCTATAAAATCATCCAAGTGACATACTCTAGAAGGTGTTTGCATAGCCAATGGTAAGGGCAAGGGCATTCAGGCTGTGTTTTCAACTGATAGTTTGAAATAAAATTATTAATAAATTAGGCTATTACAGTGCATACTATTCAGCAGAAGCAGCAAAGATGTTAATTGAAGTTTTCCTCTTCAGTGCAGTTCCCCCTCAGTATCTCTTAGGAGGATGTCCTTGGATACCAAGGTCCTTGGATGCTCAAGTCCTCTTTTTAAAAAAGGCATGGTTAAGCCAGGTGTAGCAGTGTACGCCTTTAATCCCAGCACGAGAAGTCAGAGGCAGGTTCCTAGTCTACATAGTAAGACCTTGTTTCAAAAAAAAGTATCTGCAGATAACCTAGGAAAATAACATCCTTCTCAAATATTTTAGTCTTTAGGTTCCTTTTAACATCAATATAATGTAAACACGATCTAAAACTTGTTATGACAAGAACTAAACTCTGGCCAATTTAGACATTTTTCCCTAATATTTTTTTGATTCCCAGGTGGCTGAATCCACAGACGGATTGGAGCTGTAGCTATGGAGGAAAACCATTTGCATTACAAAAATCTTGAAGCTTGGGGTTTTCTGCGGCTAGGAAGGCAAGAGAATCTGGAGTGCTATTAGCAGTTGGGGTGGGTCAGAATGTGGCCATTGGCACAAGGGTAATAGCCTGCATTCCAGTGGTTAAAACCAAGGCACTGGGGATCAGGCTGGACACAATGTGAGTACAAGAGGTCTTTCCCCAGGAAGTGATATGGACAGAGCCTCTGGAGAATGGCCTCACTGAACTGGTAGGTCAGCTTTCTCCGGATTTTGGTGATCTCCCCAGTCCTGGCATAATTCCTCAGGGCTCTGGCCATCTTCTGGTAAGTCATGGTCTTCCGGTTGCCTTTTCTTTTCCCCCAAAGTTCGGCAAGTTTTTCTTTATTTTTTGATATAAACTGAAAGATGCCTTTGGTTCTGTCAACCCACTGAATACAAGATGCCATCTCAGGACTGCACAGGGATTCGTAAAGGTATTCAAACAGCCGCAGCTTCCTCCTGCCTGCAACGGAAGTAAGGAAACGTCAAACCCGGTTTGTACCCCTGAAGGCCTCTAGAAGGAAGTCCCCAGAAAGATGTCCTGAGCATCTACAAAACTGAAAGCTGCCCTGTGCCTGGTTTCCTTCCACTCGTTCTCTTAAGAATGAATTCATGGCGGGCCTATTAAAGTTTCAACTGGACGAAAAGTTCAGTATTTTCTTTGGAAAAAATAAGCCAGGAGCCTCTTTCTCTAAGGGATTACCATTTTGAATGCAGTCTTTCTTCACAGTTAAATCTTGACCCTAACTGTGTTATAAAACTACACAGCAACTTACCAAAATTGAATGCAAAGTTCAATGGTTTTGAAGAGCTGCCTTAGGAGCCATTTCCAGAAAGCAATGCCTTTGAACGAACTTTATTTCAAATGAATTGAAGTAAGGGATATGTACATGTTTTTGTTATGTTTTATTTTCTTGAAACAGAACCTCACTATGTAGCTCAGCCTGGTTTGGAACTTGCTGTGTACACCAGACTGGATTCAAACTCAGTCCTTCTGCTTCAGTCTCCCAGTGCTGGCATTGCAGTTGTGTGCCACCACTCTGGCTTGTGTATGCACCCAGAAACATGGAAAAGATAGAAATATTAGAGGAGCCAGTAGTTATGACTTAGTTTAAGAGGCTAACTCTGGAGCTGCAAAATGTCTTAAAAATTGAAAAAACTGAGGTGACATACTAAAAAATATTTTCATGTCATTATTCATGAGGAAATTGTAATTTTTGAAATTATTATGAAATGAAGTGGGCATGTCAGGTGGGTTTTTGTTTGTTCGGAAAACGAGGTGACAGCCCACCTACTACATCTGAATTAGCCTGTGTATGCTGTGCCATGCTCCATTAAATCCATCACTAGAGAAAAGTCATGGCCAGATTCTGTTTTCTTGAGAAATTAGCATAGTTCATCCCCAAAGTGCTTTGAACATTCTCTGGAAATCACTTTGTTTACGTCAATCGCCACTCATCCTCAAACCTCAAACATTTTGATGAAATTGTCTTTTACATTATATTATCTTGAGTTTAAACTGGGAAATGAAAGGGATTTACCAAGAAATACATCATAAATTAAAGCTACCACACTAAACAAAACTCCCGTCTCTCACTTAGCAGTCAAGTTAACCAGTAGCTTTTAAAACTTATTCTTGGGCTGGGCGTGGTGGTGCACGCCTTTAATCCCAGCACTCGGGAGGCAGAGGCAGGAAGATCTCTGTGAGTTCAACTGGTCTATATAGTAAGTTTCAGGACAGCTGGGGCTACAAGGAGACCCTGTCTCAAAAAGACCAAAAAAGAGAGGAAATGTATTCTCAACTTTTCGTTTTAGGGATTGAGACAGGTCTCACTATGTGGTACTACTGGCTGACTTGGAACTCTCTATATAAACCAGGCTGGTCTTGAACTCAAAGATCCACCTGCCTCTGCCTCTGGAATTCTGGGACTAAAGGCATGGGCCACAGCACCCAACTGTTCTTTTTTTCCTCTCAATTTTTAAAAGATATTTAGCTTGACTACCACAAACCTCATTCACTCTCCCAGCTCCCCCTATGTGGTACTACTGGCTGACTTGGAACTCTCTATATAAACCAGGCTGGTCTTGAACTCAAAGATCCACCTGCCTCTGCCTCTGGAATTCTGGGACTAAAGGCATGGGCCACAGCACCCAACTGTTCTTTTTTTCCTCTCAATTTTTAAAAGATATTTAGCTTGACTACCACAAACCTCATTCACTCTCCCAGCTCCCCCAGACATGGGGTGTCTCTCCTTGTAGCGTGGGCACTGGCCCATTTCTTCTCTTGGCACCCCAGACCTCTGGATTGCCCTCTTGGCCCACACTCCCCCTGCTTCCTGATCCTTTGTACCCAAACCAACCTAGTTCTTCAGTCTAGTTCCCTGGAGCCCTCAAGGCCTGTTCCCTCCCCCACCTCATCTTTGCATACCTGGACCAGCCTTCATCCCTGGCCAGCCCAACCCTTAGCTTCCTGAGGTCAGCATCTTGCTTGGGTAGGTTTGACCATGCCCACTGTGCCTTGAATCCCACAACCTCATTCATCCACACAGCTCCCCCATCCCATTGCTCCTCCTAGCGTGGGCACTGGCCCATTTCTTCTCTTGGCACCCCAGACCTCTGGACTACCCTCTTGGCCCAGACTCTCCACTGCTTCTTGATCCTCTGCATTCAGACCAACCTAATTCCTCAGTCTAGTCCCCTGAAGCCCTCAAAACCTGTCCCCTTTCCCACCCGGCCTTTGCATACCTGAGACCAGCCTTCATCCCTGGCTGCCTGAGAGTCCTGAATCCGACCTCCACCTAACAATCTTCCCAAATTACACCATGCCTGCTGACTAGAGGGATCCAGACCTTAGGAGAAAGTCTGAGAGCATCTGAACCTCAGACTTGGGGCTCTGTGGGAACTCCTGAGCACCAGGATGAAAGCCATCTGTCCCCTCTAATATAAAATCAAAAGAAAGAGGCCGAAGCCTAGACCAACCAGCTTTTCATGCCCAACAAGCAAACCACAAAGGCACATAAAGTTTACAAAAAGAAGCAGACCTGAACTCAACAAAGGCTTGAATCTCACACAAGAATCAGAAACTACAAAAGAAATCCACATGCCAAAGTCACAGTGAAAAAATAATAACATGGAAAACCCAAATAATATATACTCACCAAGTACCAACAGTCCTGTAGAGGAGTACAATGAGAACCCCCTAGAGATAACACAAGACATGGAATTCAAAAGAACAATTAGAAACCTGATAAAAGAATTCAGTGAATTTGAAGAACACAAAGAAATCAAAGAACTGAAAGAAGTTAGGGATAAACTTCTGAATGAATTCAGAAAAGAGAAATATTGAAGAATGCTCAGGCTGAAATGAAGAAGGAAGTGAAACACTCAGTAAGCCAATTAGAAA